TTTGGACCAGCAACAGTCACCAGGGGAAAGCCGTGCTCTGATTGGCTCATGGTCTATCTACCCTTGAAGTTGAGATCACCTTCTTTGAAACACAGGAGGAAAGAGTGTAGAAACTTGAATAAAATTGGGGTTTGGCTGTAAAGGAAGAATGGAGAAATAGAAACTAGGCAGACAGCTGACAATGAGTACTTAAAAGTATCAAGATAAGAGCTAAAGAAGCTGGTTGGATTCAGCAACATGGAGATAATTATTGGTGCCCTTGGGGAAAGACGCTCAGTGGTGTGATGGCTGTGGCCGACTGTAGAGGGCTGGGGATTGAATGGGAAGTAAAACACGGATAAACTGACTAAAGACAGCTCCTTTTAAAAAAAGAAAGAGGTGGGAGCCTGGGTGGCTCAGTTGGTTAAGCAACTGCCTTCGGTTCAGGCCATGATCCTCGAGTCCCGGAATCGAGTCCCACATCGGGCTCCCTGCTCAGCGGGGAGTCTGCTTCTCCCCCTGACCCTCTTCCCTCTCGTGCTCTCTATCTCTCATTCTCTCTCTCTCAAATAAATAAATAAAATCTTAAAAAAAGAAAAAAGAAAGAGGGGGGCTCCAGGCTGGCTCAGTCGGTAGAGATCAACTCCTAATCTCCGGGTTATAAGTTTGATCCCCACATTGCGTGTAGAGAGTACTTAAAAATAAGATCTTTTAAAAAAGAGAGAGAGATGGGGCACCTGGGTAGCTCAGTCGTTAAGCGTCTGCCTTCGGCTCAGGTCATGATCCCGGGGTCCTGGGATCGAGCCCCGTGTGAGTTTCCTTGCTCAGCGAGAAGCCTGCTTCTCCTCCCTCTCCCATTCCCCCTGCTTGTGTTCCCTCTCTGACTTTGGGGCTCCTGGTTGGCTCAGTCGTTAAGCGTCTGCCTTCGGCTCAGGTGTCTGTGTCTCTCTGTCAAATAAATAAATAAAATCTTTAAAAAAAAGAGAGAGAGAAAGAGGGAAGGTGAGGAGTTGAGTAACGACACTTCTAATAAGGAGAGATTTGAACATCCAAAAACATTAATGGGGGAGATCTAGTTGGTTTTTTTTTTTTTAAGATTTTATTTATTTATTTGACAGAGAGAGATACAGTGAGAGAGGGAACACAAGCAGAGGGAGTGGGAGAGGGAGAAGCAGGCTTCCCACGGAGCAGGGAGCCCGATGCGGGGCTTGATCCCAGGACCCGGGGATCATGACCTGAGCTGAAGGCAGACGCTTGACGACTGAGCCACCCAGGTGCCCCTGGGGGAGATCTAGTTTAAAGGGAAATGTTGAGGGGCACCTGGGCGGCTCATTCAGTTGCTCGTCTGATTTGTTTTTAAGATTTTATTTATTTGAGAGAGAAAGAGCACACACACAAGTTGGGGGGAGTGGCAGAGGGAGAGGGAGAAGCCGACTTCCCTCTGAGCAGGGAGCCCAACACAGGGCTCCATCCCAGGACCTTGAGATCATGACCTGAGCCAAAGGTAGATGCTTAACTGACTGAGCCCCAGGCGCCCTGAACGTCTGACTCTCGATCCTGGCTCAGGTCGTGATATGGGTTGTGAGATCGAACCCCATGTTGGGTTCCATGCTGGGTGTGGGTCTGCTTAAGATTCTCTGTCTGTCTCCCTCTCCCTCTGCCCCTCCCCCCACACATGAACCCATACTCTCTCTAAAAAGAAAGAAAGAATGAAAGAAAGAAAAAATAATTGAATGTAATAATTGAGCCTTAAACATGAAGTCAGAGAATTTTATTTTTTTTATTTTTTTTAAAGATTTTATTTATTTATTTGACAGAGAGAGACACAGCGAGAGAGGAAACACAAGCAGGGGGAGTGGGAGAGGGAGAAGCAGGCTTCCCGCGGAGCAGGGAGCCCGATGCGGGGCTCGATCCCAGGACCCTGGGATCATGACCTGAGCCGAAGGCAGACGCTTAACGACTGAGCCAACCAGGAGCCCCAAAGTCAGAGAATTTTATAATGCAGATTATTAATGATACAGGGAGATTTTCCTCAGAGAACTTTGTTCAGAATGATTGAGCTTGGATGAGAGTACATGTGGTAAACTGGAGATTCCTTGTTTTAGGCGGTTGGTGTGCATGGCAGCCTTCCCCTCACCTCCTTTTACCCCATCCCTGATCACCACCTTGTCCCTGACCCCTATTCCAGGTTGTGGGTGGGTTATGAATGAAGTCTCAGGGATGAGATGAACTTAGAGAAGAGATGAGGGTGTCTGTTTTATATATTACTTGGTAATAAAATTTTCCAAAAAACCCTGAAAGCTTATTAGATTTTTAGATGAGTTAAATGTCGTGATTAACTAATTCTGGTGTATAGTATACCCTCAACAAAGTGGCCATTGTTATACTTGTCGTTACTTAAGCCCCAGCAAATTAACACCTCTAATTTTTCAGTTTTTCAGTTTTTCGGTTCCCCAGAATTAGTCTCCTCCCTCTCCTCTATCTTTCCATAGGGTCTTGTCTGTTTCCCTAGTATAGGACCTAGTTCATTCTTCTGTATCCATATTTCCTTTTCTTTCTCTCTCCCTTGTCTGAATGGGAACCATCTTTTATTTAACTCTGTATCTCCCAGAACCTAACACATAATATAACATGTAAAATGTGTCTGGCACATTATAATTGCTCAAAACAGTGGTTTCTTGGGGCACCTGGGTGGCTGAGTGGGTTGAGCGTCCGACCCTTGGTTTCAGCTCAGGTCATGCTCTCGGGGTCTTGAGACTGAGCCCCATGTTGGGCTTCCCGCTCAACGGGGGAAGTCTGCTTGAGATTCTTTGTCTCCCTCTCCCTCTGCCCCTCCCCTGGCTCTCTCTTCCTCTAAAATAAATAAATCTTAAAAACAAAACAATGATTTCTCCAGTGTAGATTGTTTCTGATGACCCATCTGTCATCCCTGCTGCCCTGTGAGAGCAGAGAATTTAAAAAATAGGAATAAATGATTTAATGAACAGGCTAATACATAATTCACAACTCTACTGGACTTCATGTATGTTTTCTGATTATTCTGGGTCCAGGTTCATGAAGTTGCTTCCCCTAACTTGAGCTCTGAACACCACAAACCCACATTGCACCTTCCAAAAGGAACACAAAGCCCCCCACTCCTGGGTGCTAAATGTTTATCTTCCTCCCTTGATTACCTCAAAAACTAGTTTTTTTCTGTCTTTTAAACTTCAATATTTGATGTTCTCTGATTGTCCTTGAATGCTGCTGTTGTGTCTTTTTATATTTCTGATAACAGCCCTGTTAAGCAAAATCAGCACATTACATTTTTTACTGACTTACCTATAAATTGAGGTGCATAGTGGATTTATAGCCCACGAAAGGGTTTTAGTTGAATCAGGGGTTAATGGCTTGCGTTTGCTAGCTGCAGTCACCTGTTCTTGCCCCACTAATGACACACCTGCAGGCAGAAGTACTCACTCACCTGCACAGCACCTTCTCTAGCCAGTGCTTCGAGAACTTGAGCAGATCCTTGTTCTTTGAGCTTCTATTTTCTAGACTAGAAGTGACCCCTCTCTTCTCATCAGATCTCACTCCCCTTGACTACACTATAGCTTCAGGGATGTTAATAGAATAAAACTGTACCCTACTTGCTTTGATTGGGATCTGTCTGTTCTTCCTCCAAACCTTTAGCCATTTATTCTGAGATGATTGCATTGAATTACTTTCTACACGTAGTTAGTTTTATCCATGTTCTCCCCCCCCGAGGGTTTTTTTCTGAGGATAACTAATATTCAAAGTCTTTTGTCCAAAATTCTCTTCTTTGAGTAGCACTGCCAATATTTGTCTGCTATTCTTTTTCCTTATTTCTTAAACACAGAGCTGTCTTAACTAGTTGAATGTTTTTGCAAGTGCAGTGAAAGAATACATTGATTGGTCTGGAGGATTTGCTTGTTTGGAAGCTACTTTTAGTGACCAAGCATAGCGTGACTCTGATCTTTTAGGTGATTTGAAGTTCATCTCTCAAAGGGCTTTGTTAATTCCCGGGTGTCAGAGGGCCTCAAACCTGTAGCCCCTGTACTAACAACAAAACTGCTCAGATGTTAGTGGAACAGAAACCTCACCAGTCTTGAGAAAAGACATGTGTCAGTCTTGATGATCAAATTTTGTTCCCTGTCAATTCAGATCAGTCCTTTGAATTTTATCTTTGATAGGACTGACAGTATGACTTTGGCTAACTATAGCCTCTACCTGTGATAATAAACATCATCTTTATCCTCTTCCGACATACGAACCAAACCATGTGACTGCCCCTAAAAGGCATCTCTGCCATCTCTCCTTTGGTAGTTTTCTTCTTGCCCACTTGAAACCTTTCTCTACTTCACTGCCTACCAATTTGACCTATTCTTTAGGGCCTATCTGATGTACCATCGCCTCCAGGAAACTTTTCCTTGATTTTGGCCTTATTCACGCTACTGTGTTTAGTGGTGCTCTATACATTCTACCTAACACAGTTAGGGATTTCATGTTTATGCCTATTCATTTATGAAGTCCTCAGAGCGGGGACCATGCCTCTTACTTCTCCAATACCACGCACAGCCTACTCTCAGCACAAGTGTTTAATTGATACTCATTGAATTGAACTGAATCAGATCAGATGTCTTGGAGAGTTATGGTCATCTCTTTCTCATCTCGGTCAAGATGTTGACCCAAGCAACCAGAACAGGAGTTCCAAATAAGTTAGGTATCACACATTCTCAAGAAAAGGTTCTTTTTCCTTTGTTGAGGTCAGAAGAACCATTTTCCACTTGATAACTGCAGTGGTAACTTTATTTTTTATTTTATTTTTTTTTTAAGATTTTGTTTATTTGAAAGAAGAGAGCATGAGCAGGGGGGAGGGGGAGAAGCAGACTCCCTACCGAGCAGGGAGCCAGACGTGGGGCTTGATTCCAGGACCCGGGATCATGACCTGAGCCAAAGGCAGTCACTTAACTGACTGAGCCACCCAGGTGCCATTAATGATGGTTTTTGCTTGTCTTCAATAGGCTGCACGCTAAATGGCCAAGAGGTAAGATTCACTGTCCACTATGAAAATGGGTTCACTATCTCTAAGGAAAATGGAGGTTCCAGCAGCATATTGTACCGCTACCCCTTTGAAAGGCTGAAAATGTCTGCTGATGATGGCATCAGAAATCTGTATCTGGATTTTGGTGGTCCTGAGGGAGAACTGGTAAGAATGTTTCTGGGAACCAGGTTTACTCTAATAGGTATTTTCTTTCTTTCTCATTGCTTCTTACCTTTTGTATAGAAAATTATGGACTGATAGTCCATTTGGAGTCAGGAAATTGTTCTTCGGTTTTCAGGATGTATTGGGTTTGGGTTTGGGATGTATGTGTGTATATGTTTTTCTTTCCCCATATTAAGAAATCATTCCTCTTTAAAAAGTTTTGTTTGAATGGTAGAAAGAAAAAATGGATAGCCCTTTTAAGAAATAGGCTTTTATCAATATGAGCTATAAAATACAAAAGCTGGTAAACTTTAATAAATAAATTCTATCCGTTACTATTATAGTTGGTTGAGATGAGTTAAAAGTGATAGAATGACTTGGTAACTACAGAAATTCTGCTGATCAGAAAAAAAAGATACAGAGCTATCTTCACACAGCCATCTTTTTTTTTTTTTTTTTTTTTATCTCCTTGTCTTTTAAAGGAAAGATCAGCAGGAATTCATGATTTCCCCTAGGAAACCACAGAAGTGTGTCAGGTGTACTTCAGAAATCATAAATTATGATAGATAAAGGAGTAAAATAATGCCTTTTCTGTCTTATCAGTTTTGAGCCAGTAGTTCAAGTATTATACATGAAATATTATGTCTATTGACACAATCATCATAGGTGGAAATTTGCAAAACAGAATCTTGACATTTTATTACTGAAAGAGATCTGAGAGACATTAACCTCCAAATAGGAAATCATGTCTAGAAATCTTATTTTAAATGATGAAACTTTAGGAGACTTTGGTTGGGCCACGGACCAGGGCTTTTCAAAAGCCTGAAGCAGCCATTTGCAAGGACGTGGATGGAACTAGAGGGTATTATGCTAAGCGAATTAAGTCTATCAGAGAAAGACAATTACCATATGATCTCACTCATATGTGGAATTTAAGAAACAAAACAGAGGATCATGGGGGAAGGGAGGGAAAAATAAGACAAGACAAAGTCAGGCGGGAGACAAACCATAAGACAGTCTTAATCATGGGAAACAGGGTTGCTGGAGGGAAAATGGGTAGGGGGATGGGGTAACGGGGTGATGGACATTGGGGAGAGCATGTGACGTGATGAGCACTGGGTATTATATAAGACTGATGAATCACTGAACTCTACCTCTGAAACTAATAATATACTATATGTTAATTAATTGAATTTAAATTAAAAAAAAAAAAAGAAATGGGAAACACATCCCTCAGAAGGCCAGAAGGAAGTATACTCTGAAGCATCAAATCACTGATTTCCCACCCAAGGGTCTTTGATTAGATCAGGGAGTGTTTTAAGGGCCTCAAGAATCCAATAAGCACTTTAAAATCATTTGGATTTAAGCATTGTGTCTATATCTCTGGTATATTTGACCTTGCTGGGAAATAAAGATATGTACATATTTAAAAAAAAAAAAAAAGCCTGAAGCATTAGACAGAGTTAAATGCTTCTATTAAATTAACTTCTGTTAAATTAACCAGTTATTAATAGCGGTTGTCATTTAGCAAGCTATGTATTAGATTATTCCTGGCTATATAGTTTTAATCCCTTCTTTATACTTAATATATACAAAGTTTAATGATGAAATTCGTGCTCTGTAACTTATATTATGAATAAAGTTATATTTTTCTTTAAAAGGCATAGTTAACTATGTCCTATTCCTGGTTTCTGTATCAGTGCCAATGACTGACGAATCACTTGACTCACGCAGCCTGATGGCAGGTCTCCTTGTTCACCTGGTGTCAGCTGTCCAGATAGAGGCCTGAGCTTAGGAAGCTATGACTTTCCCTCCTAACTAGCCTCAGGAGTTGTCATTCCCACCACAAACCTATGAGAGATACCAAAAATCATACCCATCCATAGTCACATTCAGCTGAGTTCACTGTGATCCCCCGCTGGGAATATAATCATAATTAACGGTCTCCATATAAGGTATTCCTCTTTCTTTTCCATCTTCTACTGTTTACTTCTTCCTACAGGCACCCCACCACTTTTCTCCTAACTGTGACATGGAGGCTCACACTAGTGTGTCGTTACTACATGGATTGACCTTACTTCAGAGAATACTTTGCATTTGTAGCTTTTGAGTTCCCGAGAGATGTTTCCATAAATCCGGCCCCTTTTTAATCCACATTCTTTCTAAAAAGTAGAACATCACATCCACATTTGTTTATTTTATGTCTGTTTATGAAAGCTTCTGTGTATGGTAGTGATAATTCTTATGCTTTCCCCACAGACCGTGGACCTGCGCTCTTGCCCGAAGCCGATTGTATTTGTGTTGCACACGTTCTTGTCAGCCAAAGTCACTCGCATGGGACTGCTCGTATGAGCAGCACAAAATCAGAAAAGAGTCGTGAATGTCACAAGAAGTATTTCCACCTCAAAAAAAAAAAAAAAAGCACAAAAAGAAAGCTCTCTGCTCTCCCCTCCAGCACAGTGCCTTGACAAGGACCTGCAGATCACTGCTGACCAGTAACCGTGTTTAAAGAAGAGCCTGCCTTTCACAAGCTACCTTGGCCAGAAATTCTAGGACTCTAATAAGCTCCAAACGAAGCTGTTGATTTATCGCCTCGTTTCCTAATGTGGTTTCTAAGTCGCTAGGTTTATTTCCCCTGTGAAGAAGGATGGCTCGTTGTGGGTTTTTTGTTGTTTTTTTTTTTTTGGACATAATCAAATATCCAAGAGTTGTTTTCGTTTTCTTCTTCCTACAGGTTTGTTCCAAGCTTAGCCTTGACATCTTGCTTAGTTCAGCCATCTCTTGCCCCGTGCTAGTTAACAGCCGCCTGTGCTTCTTGGCCCTTCTAGATAGGCCGTATGTGCTTTTGGAGCTTACTGTCATAATCCTTCCACCCTAGGAAGTCCTTGAATTGCACACCAAAGCGTTCTCCCATCTGTCCTGGCTCTCCTACATCCCGCCCTGGCCATCACTTTCCTACCACATCACGAGCTTTGCCACTCATAAGTGCTAACTTTAGGACTTAGAACTTATGAAATTTGATTTGCCTTGCCTTCCACTCCCTTTCTAGTGGCGACCAAGTTGGAAACCACTGATTTGAAAGAAGAGGTTTGCTTGTTTTAGATCTTTCTGATTTATCTTTGGTAGGAGCCAGGGGATAAGATTTCTTTTAAAAGAAAATCCTCATTTTAGCCTAAGCCATTTTTTATTGCTTACCAAATGTGCCTTTGGTTAGGGTTAGTGGAGCTTTATTAGTCACTATTTGAATAACTGGATATCACTGCCATTCCAGGGAGAGCATCCATCTTAGTTTTGAGGAATAGTCTTTGAGATGGGTTTCCTTAGGAGTATCTTTTCTAGTGGGCAGATCTCATTGAGGAAGCTAAGCCTTGGAGAGCCCTCTTGTTTAAAGAGTAGGCTCTGTAAAGCCAGCTCTTCAGCACAAACATCCTGTGGAGTTGCCTTGGGCTTTGTGAGCCCAAGCTGGATCCTGGCCCTTGTCCTCTCCCTTTGTGGCAGCAGAGTGGCATGGATAGGCAGCTGCTAATTCAACACTCACTGTTGGCTTAGTAACGCATTCTACAGTGGGTGGGTGACGAGACCACGAAACAGCTACCTGGATTTTGCTAAGCATTGCCAGATGTCATCATTACGACTTAGTAGCAGTAAGATTGCTGATTTTGTGGTATTAAAGAATCACACTCAGCTTGTTTTTCCTAATTATGAAGGAGGTATATATCTGAAAACATTTAAAATAGGATAATAGCTATATAAAATGTCAAGATTACTGCAGTCCCCAGATTTGAAAGAAAAGGGAATATTGACTTGGATGTTCTCTGAAGAAAAGTCTAGGAATAGTTCTCACTTACTAGATTTATTAAGAGTACTGTAAGAGGATGTGAGCACTTCGGAGAGTGGAGGAGGGTAGCACTCCATATAGGGAGGAAAAACCCCACAACCATAAATGCACAACCTGAGCTGTTTGGTGTGAGTGCAGACTGACCTAGGTGGGACATTTTAAAGAGCTGACTCATGAGCAGAGAGTTTGAGTTAGACATTGTAACCCCACTGTCTTTCTTCTGCCCATAAGTCAGTCCTCCTTCCCCTTGTACAGTGAGATTAACCACATGCAGGGGCTGGGGAGAGATAACTGGTAACTGTTCTTCCCCCAGCTACAGTTCCAAAAATAAATGATTTGATCCACTTAAAACTGGAAATTGGAATCTAGACTAGAATATGTCTTTCAAGAACGTTTTTTATGTTTTAAAGATTCATAAACCTATGTTTGGTTCCATCCGAAGTAAATTTACAAAGGAAGAAAAAAAAATATCTTGAAGGTCCAGCTGTGATTTCTGGAAGCAGAATTTCAACACATAATACCCTCAGATAAGGGAGCTTAGACACTCTTTGCAGTGAGAGCATTATTAACCTGAAAAGTTGCAAAATGCAGTCACAGATTTTGCAACAAAGCCATGTGGTTGAGGTTTTCTTGGTTAGTGTGAAAGGCTAAGCCACTGAGAATTTTTTCAGGCAGAACTTCTGAGCCCCCGTGCTCATCAGTTCATGAAAAAGATCTCTAAAAAAGGTGTGATGAACATGTGAGCAGGAGAAGGTAAAGCGTGTGAGCCATTTTGGCTCATTTTGTTCAAGCTTGGTTTTTTTAAATCTTCTGAGTCTTAATGTGAAATGAAAATGTGTGGGAGATTTCCTTTGACCACTAGCACCCCCAAGAGCAAGAGCCTTAAGCTGCTTGTGTAACATCAACAGCTTTCCAATCATGGGTAACCAGCTTGTTCTTCAATTAAGTGTGTTTATGGAATTTTCAAACCACAAATGAAGTGCTTTTTATGAATAGGACAGCCTTGATAAATATGTATTTTGTATTAAGATGCCAAAATATGGCAAATTATTTTAACTAAAAATGGGCATTTGGGGTATTTCACACCTTTTATAGAACAGCTTAACTTGTCATTTCTTTTTCATTTTGAATTAGGAAGATTGCTGAGAATGTTGTGGGCTTCCATGTGTAGAATGGAAAAGAAGCTGCAGAGTAGTGTCCACCTCATCCCAATGGACCCACTTCCTGTGCCCTCAGCTCCCCTCCAGACCTGGGGCTTAGACATCTTTCCATATTCCACACAGATGTCTACAAGTAGCCAATTGGCATGTGAAAATTCTTCCTCCTCATTCCCTAAAATTTCTCCCTTTCCTCTCGAAAGAAAGAACCAACAAAAGAAAGAAAGAAAGAAAGAAAAGGCTCAGTTATTCTTTTTCTGAAAAAGGTAAGCCCTTTCCTGAATTTATCAAACAAACCTTACCTGGAAATTAATATCTAATATTTTATATGAAGAAATACTTTAATGTATGTTTATACAGTATTTATTAGATACTTATAACTGTAAACTCACCTACCTAGTAGACAGTTACAGATTAAATATTGGGACATGTACAAGCAATCAAAAATATTACTTTAAATGTCATTCACCTCTTTTAAAGCCATGTTTTAGCACTTTTTAGGCTAGGTAAAGTCTGATAGTGCCTGTTTTTATCAGCTGTACCCTCACAAACTTTGTTATGGAACATTATTGGATGGCAGGAGAGATTGAATTATTTATTTCTTATATTTTTATAAGTGGAAAAATCTAACCAACAAATGATTAAAGTTGTCACTGATTATTTGTTTTCCTAATTTATGTTCCTAAGCAGAATGGTAACAAAGCTTTTTTCAGCTGATGAAATGCACTTAGCTAATAAACCAAAATTTATTCTTAAAAAAAAAAAATTAAACTGTGTGGAATCTGGACAAGATTATGTTTCTCCCAGAAAAAGTTTTCACTGTAAATGGTTTTGATGGACAAAAGTGTGACCACTTTTGAAAAAAGGTTACAATGGATTTTTTTTTTAATTTTGTGAGAACCTCCAGGTCTTCTTGTTTAATTTATGTGCATGTGGATATATTTGTATGTTTTCAAAAACATGGAAGAATCTCCATTTTTAATGCAAATTATATTGTAAGCTGCTATGCAAATTCTATTAAAAGCCCTACCTACTTAAAAGTTAAACATTTTTGAAGCTTTCAGGGAAGACCTGTAGACTTAAGCACTTTCTCTGCTTTTTTGTATCTTATCTTGGACACTTACGCTGAACTTTGTTCTTATTATTTTCACTGGTTATAAGCTATTGATTGTACATAATATTGAAACTATCCAAATATCCAGCATACATTTCCCTGTCACTGCCATCCATCATTGACGCCCCGAATGAATGGCTGGGTAGAAAGCCAAAGGTCATCTTTTTTCAATTGCTAATGAAGAAGTAAAATGCCAGGTCTCTTTGGTCTCAAAGCAGATTGCTCTAGTCTGATCAAGTATCTATGTAAGGAAAAGAGACTTCTTTAAAGTTGGGATTCCGCTAGGGGTGCCTGGGTGGCTCAGTCCTTAAGCATCTGCTCAGGTCATGATCCCAGGGTCCTGTGTTGGAGCCCCACATCGGGCTCCCTGCTCAGCAGAGAGCCTGCTTCTCCCTCTCCCACTCCCCCTGCTTGTGTTCCCTCTCTTGCTGTGTCTCTGTCAAATAAATAAATAAAATCTTAAAAAAGAAAAGAAAATTTGGGATTCTGCTTAAACTTTAAGTTTAAGTTGAATTTGACCATAATCATATTCACTCTTTTTGTATGTATGTCTCTATCAGGTCTATAATGTGCTAGGTGGTATTATATTATATTCTGTCTTAAGTTTGGAAATCTCAGTTAAATTTAAATTGTTATTGTGGCTTTTTTATTCCCCCTCCTGAAGATGAAAGCAGAGGAATCTACCATTTGCTACTGTTCTCTCTCTCTCCCAAGATTGCTTGGTAGTCTAGAATTCTTTTACTTTCTACATACTGTCTAAAAACTGACAGCAGCAGTCTCTCCCCTCCCTCCTTTTTTACAGCTGTCTCCTTCCCTGTGCTGGGTATATAGACAATAAATGTGTGATGACAGACAATTATAAAATAATTATGTTGTGTATCAGGATTATGTGTTTTTGAGCAATATAGCTACTCCTATCACATAATGATAAGTGAAATTTACGCTGGAAATAGACTGCTAGTGGTAGATTTGAAACCATTTCTCTAAAAAAAAAAATAGATCTGGCAGATCAATGATACAGATTCATTCTATCAAAGGATAGAATTTCAAGTTAAAATAAGGTACCAAAAATAGGTTCATAGAGCACACCTGTACATCTATTGTCAGTTTTTTTTTTTACAGTAGCTAAACTACCAACTAGAAGAATGGTTTTTATGTATTAACTCAACAAAATATTTTAATAAGATTTCTTCTTTTGTTTCAAAACTGATAAACTTGAGCTTAATCTCTTGCCACCCCTATTCTTCCTACTTCAGGTGACTGAACCAAAGCCGACTTAAGTTTTGAAAGTGAATCTACATTTGGTGTGATT